GGCGCAAGTCCAACCTCCAGGTAGATTACGAGATCTTCAACGATAAGTTGTGCGAGTTTAACCTGGTGCTAGTAGTACGAGAGAAAGGTATTTTCAGAAATGATTGAAGGCTGCAGCAACAATCTGCCGTTTTGTTCTGTTTCTCAACAGTTAATAGATTAACAAACCCCCCTGTTCAAATGCCCATTAGAGCTTACTTCCAAACGTAAATGCAATGAGTTTGCTAATTTTTTCAATGACAAGGTTCAAGGGATCAAAAGCGCCATTGTCTCCAATCCACAGATAACCATCCAACAGCCAGAAAGGCTCTCTGAGCTAACTCACTTTGCACCTGTAAATGATAAAACTGTCCAAGAGATAATCTCCAGTTTGAGCTCCTCCACATGCAGCCTGGATGTACTACCCACTAGATTTCTGAAGTCTGTTCTGAGCAGTCTGTTACCTTCACTCACACAGATAGTAAACATGTCCCTTCATTCTGGAATATTCCCAAAGGCCCTGAAAACTGCAGTCATCAGGCCCCTGCTAAAAAAGAGCAGTCTGGATGCCACTGTACTTAACAACTATCGTCCCATCTCAAATCTGCCATTTATGGGGAAAGTCCTTGAGAAAGTTGTCTACCTACACCTTACTAGATTTCTTATAATCAACAACTCATTTGATATGTTTCAGTCCGGCTTTAGACCCCACCACAGCACTGAGACTGCTCTCGTTAAGGTTACAAACGATATCCGGCTGAACACTGACGCAGGCAAAGTCTCAATCTTAATCTTGTTAGATCTAAGTGCTGCCTTTGACACCGTCGACCATGAGATCCTCTTACAGAGACTAGAGGACTGGGTTGGCGTCACTGGCACCGCCCTAAGTTGGTTTAGGTCTTACCTTGAAGACAGGAAGTACTTTGTGGAGATTGGAAACTGTGTCTCAGATCATATGGCCCTGACCTGTGGAGTACCACAGGGGTCGATCCTGGGACTTCTTCTGTTCAATCTCTACATGCTGCCGTTAGGTCAGTTAATACGCAGAAACAAAGTTTCCTATCATAACTATGCAGACGACACTCAGATCTATGTCTCACTGACTGCAGGAGAACATGGACCAGTGGACTCACTCCTTCACTGTATCCAACAGATCAGTGAGTGGATGCAAAACAACTTCCTTCAGCTAAACGCAGACAAAACTGAAATGATTGTCTTTGGTCCCCAGAAACAAAGAGAGAGCGTCATCTGTCACCTACAGTCTCTCTCCCTAAAACCTTCAAATAAGGTCAGAAATCTAGGGGTAATACTGGACTCAGACTTAAATTTTAATAGCCACATCAAATCAGTAACATCAGCAGCTTTTTACCATCTAAAAAACATTGCCAGGATCAAAAACATAGTGTCTAAAGCAGACTTGGAGATTCTTATCCATGCATTTGTCTCCAGTAGGTTAGACTACTGCAATGGCCTGCTCACAGGTCTGTCCAAACAGGCTGTAAAACAGCTGCAGTACATTCAAAATGCAGCAGCTCGAGTCCTGACAAGAACCAGGAAGTACGACCACATTAGTCCAGTCCTCAGGTCTCTGCACTGGCTTCCTGTGGCTCAGAGAATAGACTTTAAAACAGCTCTGCTTGTGTACAAGTCTCTCCATAGCCTCGTACCAAAATATATTAGTGACATGTTAGTCCCATATGAACCAGCCCGGACTCTGAGGAGCACAGGGACTGGACTCCTGTTAGTGCCCAGAGTCAGAACTAAACATGGGGAGGCTGCTTTTCAGATTAATGCTGCTAAAATCTGGAACAGTCTTCCTGAAGATGTGAGACAGGCCTCCTCTCTGACAATGTTTAAAACCAGGTTAAAGACGGTTCTGTTTAACTGTGCATACAACTGAGGGATTTTATATTTTTATCTTTCTTTTTAATGTTCTGTGATAATTTATGATTTTAATGCTTTCTTGTTTTGTTCAGCACTTTGAATTGCCTTGTGTATGAATTGTGCTATATAAATAAACTTGCCTTGCCTTGCCTTGCCTTACAAATAAAGTTGACATTGACATTTGTCCTTCTCTGGATCCAGCGACAAGACGTTGCAAACTCCGTCCTCAGGTCTTAAAAAACCGACCTGCATAAACAGGATAACATTAATATAATTCTCTCATAGTCAATATTTATATAGATGAGTTTTATCTAATCTCCAACTACAACTAATCACATACTGTAGCTTGTAGGATTTTACACAGTGCGCAGCAGTCAAATGTAACATTAACTTTGTACATTGTAATGTATAAAAAACCCTTCATATAATCATGTTTCTGTAAATAGTTCTCATCTGTATAGTTTCACATTTTCTCCGATAGGTTTTCAAAGAAATAATCACGATATCATGTCAAAAGAAAATGCAGTGTCATGAACTAGCTTAGCATAAACTAGCTTAGCATGAACTAGCTTAGCATAGCAACAGACTCACCGGAGATCAAGAACACGCAAAATCGAAAAAATCCTTGTCTCCAGTACCTCTTGCTGTTAATATCAACTCTAAGAACCCAAAACAAGTTGTAAATCACACATTTCAGAAGTATTTACATCGTTTTTTCTTATGATGTCCAAAAGATGGCGGAGCATTCACACTAAAAACAATAGCGCCCTCTAATGCGGAAACGCTCCGTTTAGCGAACATTTAAAGGAACAGTATCACAAAATGACATATTATAGTTGGTGGGTTACACAGAGAATGAAAGATTGCATTTGAAGTCATAGCTAAATGCACAAGAGAAAGAATTTTTTAATTGTTACATCTTGATCTTGTGGTTTTTGTATCTCTATCCTTGAAGCTCGTGTGAAAAAAGGTGTCTCATTTTATAAAACGTTTCAAGAAGTGTAGTAAATAGCAAGCACACAACATGAGTATTGGGCAAAAATGTCGAGAGCGATGGCACCAAATGGTCTCCTGGATGTAGCCTGGCCAGTGCAAAATGGACCGTTTGTATGGCCTTTTAAAAGCTTAATAGGACATGAGCTCCAGGGGATTACAGAGCAGCTGCTGGAGGTCACAAACGAGACTGAATTCAACATTTCATCTTACGGGATCCAAAACTTTGTAGACCAGGACTCCAAAGTAACAAGGGCAGCTGCATAAGTAAAATAACCCTGGTAATTTTACGTCCCATATCAAATAGTTTGATCCTGTTACAACATTGGATTAATTCAGCTACTATTAGGAACTTCCAGCATGATCATTGAACTCTGCCCCTTCTGTCTAAAAGCTCCTGTCTCAGTTCCCTAAATGTATGATGTCATTGAACCACTATGACATCACACTCAGAGCCGTTTTCTACATAAAAAGTATTACCTAGAATTTAAACTTTGGCAATTTCTCATGTGAAATACTTTCTTTTAAGGCCACTGGGGCCTTAACTAAGTTCTTGATTCATTTCAAGAAATATTTGGATTCTTAAAGTTAGTGGGGCTGCCTCCAGAGAAAACTTACACAATGACAATCCCTGTGAGATTCGTGGACCTTTTTTCCAGGATGTTCTGCCAAAAGGCATTAACAACACAAACGACGAGAGCCGCTGCAATAAAAATACACCAACTATGGATAATGGTTGCATTTCCAAGTCTTTGAGAAGTGTCAAAAATAATAATACAGAACATTTTTCACTTTTGGTCCAGATGCTGGGGGCAGTCAGTCAGCCAAGGGTATAAGGATTTTATCAAAACTAATTTGAAATAATCGGTGAGAAAGATGAAGCTAAAAGAGAATGGCTCAATGGATAACGATCCCAAACTTCAGAAATCCACAATAGATTCATGTGTCAAACATTTGTCAATCATGTGTCTGTTTTCAGTGACCCATGGACTGTTTTTTATCAATGCTTATTATTCACTTGTAGCTTTTATGGTAATATGTAACTACTGCTACCATGGAATATTGGAGAACTAATCTTTCACCTCATTTAATGCTCATAAGAACAAAGTAATTTACTTATAATTAAATATAAATCTAATTAATTTATTAACTTATTTAATTATTCATCATATCACATATACTATACATTATTATAAATGCACAGAATAATATATTATTTACAAATGAATTTACAACTTTATTTACAAATTATCAGCTCGAAATGGAGCAGGAAGAAGAGAAAAGATTAAAAAAAATAAGTCTACAATTATATCATTAGCTCTGATACAAACTAACTGGAATTATTTTGTTCAGAGAAATCTACCTTATGACAATTATAATAAATGTAATAAATGTCATATAAAAATAAAAAATTCTGACAAAATACCATCATAATGAAAATAACAAAAAACTTTGAGAAAACCCCTGGATATCTAATCCAGGGGTTTCAGACCCAGTTTTGTCAGGGGCCCAAACAAGAGGCACAAGGTGAAGGTTTTTGCAAGTGCATTCTACTGTCTCCTGTCCTTAACGTAATAATACATGAGTGGATTGACCTCGGCTGAGCAGAGGACGCATGACAGACCAGACACCTCTCAACTCTTATCATATATACAGGAGGGGTCTCCAACCGTCTTCTATCAGAGAGTTATTTTAATACAACAGAAGAGGCAGTGAGCTACTCCTTTTTGCTGTCGTAATAATAATCTATGTCAGTATTGGGACAAAATAAGGAAAAGAGATGTAGAAAATACCAAAGTACGTATAAGTCTATATTTATACTTATAATTGATGTGTAATGACTCAAAAGTGATTCATTCACAATCATGTGTTAAATTTTAAACCCTTTGGGAAGCTACCTGAAAGGGGCTGGCGAGCTACGGGTAGCTCAAGAGCTACAGGTTGGAGACCCCTGGAGTAGGCTATGATAGTACAAAGTTATATGTTCAAAAATATACATAGTTCAAATACATGAAATACAATTGAGTTTGCTGACACCACCGGCAAAGTTAGAGAAGGAGCTTTACGAGATTTAGTACAAAAAAGGGAT